ATGTGTGTTAGATGTATGCTCCATTGATTATGGCAGCTCTCCATGAAAATTTTATTTCTCCCTCCCTCCCTCCCTCTCCCCCACTTTACATGCGCGCAGCAAAATAAAACACGTTATTTCTATTCAGTCATAAATGACATCAATAATTTACATACAAACAAAAAAAATAATAATAAAGGGGGAAGAAAGAAGAGAGAAAAAAAATAAAAAATGTAAAAAAATAAAACAAAAATAAAAATAAAAATAAAAATGAAAATAAAAATAAAATAAAAATAAAAATAAAATAAAATAAAAATAAAATAAAATAAAAAAAATAAAATAAAATAAAAATAAAATAAAAATAAAAATAAAAATAAATAAAATAAAAATAAAAATAAAAATAAATAAAACAAAATAAAAATAAAATAAAATAAAAAATAAAAATAAAATAAAAATAAATAAAATAAAAAAAAAAAAATAATAATAAGAATGCAAGTAATATAAGTATGTGAATATGAATATGTAGTAAAAGTTTTCGTATCAAAGTTTGCGTGTCTCCGTGTCCATAAATCCATCAGTCCATAAATCCATCGGTCCATAAATCCATCAGTCCATGAATCCATCAGTCCATAAGCCCATGAATCCATGAGTCCATGAGTCCATGAGTCCATGAATCCATGAGCCCATGAGTCCATGAGTCCATGAATCCATGAATAAATGAATCCATGAGTCCATGAGTCCATGAATCCATGAGTCCATGAATACATGAGTCCATGAGTCCATGAGTCCATGAGTCCATGAATAAATGAATCCATGAGTCCATGAGTCCATGAATCCATGAGCCCATGAGTCCATGAATCCATGAATAAATGAATCCATGAGTCCATGAGTCCATGAGTCCATGAGTCCATAAGTCCATGAATCCATGAATAAATGAATCCATGAGTCCATGAGTCCATGAGTCCATGAGTCCATGAATAAATGAATCCATGAGTACATGAATCCATGAGTCCATGAATACATGAGTCCATGAGTCCATGAGTCCATGAGTCCATGAATAAATGAATCCATGAGTCCATGAGTCCATGAATCCATGAGCCCATGAGTCCATGAATCCATGAATAAACGAATCCATGAGTCCATGAGTACATGAATACATGAATCCATGAGTCCATGAGTCCATGAGTCCATGAGTCCATGAGTCCATGAATCCATGAATCCATGAGCCCATGAGTACATGAGTACATGAATACATGAATCCATGAGTCCATGAGTCCATGAATAAATGAATCCATGAGTCCATGAGTACATGAATACATGAGTCCATGAGTCCATGAATACATGAGTCCATGAATCCATGAATACATGAGTCCATGAGTCCATCAGTCCATGAATCCATGAGCCCATGAGTCCATGAGTCCATGAATAAATGAATCCATGAGTCCATGAGTCCATGAGTCCATGAATAAATGAATCCATGAATCCATGAGTCCATGAGTACATGAATACATGAGTCCATGAGTCCATGAATACATGAGTCCATGAATCCATGAATACATGAGTCCATGAGTCCATCAGTCCATGAATCCATGAGTCCATGAGTCCATGAGTCCATGAATCCATGAATCCATGAGCCCATGAGTCCATGAGTACATGAATCCATCAGTCCATAAGCCCATGAATCCATGAGTCCATGAGTCCATGAGTCCATGAATCCATGAGCCCATGAGTCCATGAGTCCATGAGTCCATGAATACATGAGTCCATGAATCCATGAATACATGAGCCCATGAGTCCATGAGTCCATGAATCCATGAATCCATGAGCCCATGAGTCCATGAGTACATGAATCCATCAGTCCATAAGCCCATGAATCCATGAGTCCATGAGTCCATGAGTCCATGAATCCATGAGCCCATGAGTCCATGAGCCCATGAGTCCATGAATACATGAGTCCATGAGTACATGAATACATGAGTCCATGAGTCCATGAGTCCATGAATAAATGAATCCATGAGTCCATGAGTACATGAATCCATCAGTCCATGAATCCATGAGCCCATGAGTCCATGAGTCCATGAGTCCATGAATCCATGAGCCCATGAGTCCATGAATCCATGAATAAATGAATCCATGAGTCCATGAGTCCATGAATACATGAGTCCATGAGTCCATGAGTCCATGAATAAATGAATCCATGAGTCCATGAGTCCATGAATAAATGAATCCATGAGTCCATGAGTCCATGAGTCCATGAATCCATGAGCCCATGAGTCCATGAATCCATGAATAAATGAATCCATGAGTCCATGAGTCCATGAATACATGAGTCCATGAGTCCATGAGTCCATGAATAAATGAATCCATGAGTCCATGAGTCCATGAATAAATGAATCCATGAATACGTGAGTCCATGAGTCCATGAGTCCATGAATACATGAATCCATGAATACATGAG